TAGTAAAGAGAAAATCCCGAGTGAAAAGCACCCATCACAGAGGGAGGAGGACACCCCGAGCCCCTGCGTCCCACAGCAGCGGTCCATCCGCTGCCCCACACTTGCCTTCCCAAATACTTACTCTGAAATTTGATTAGAATTGAACGATGCCATTATATGTGCCTGACAAATAAAACTCATATCATCTGCTACTTTTCTTTTCAGCAAACCTTGTTATAAATGACTCCTTTATCAGAAAATGGGAAGAAACTCAGGGCTTCCTCGGTTTAAAGGAATATGCGGAGCACGTTGATGACAAAGACCTGGAAGTGAAGATTGCGATAGTGGACAAATACAAAGAGCGGATCCCTGAGCTGGTGCAGAAGATTGAGAGCAGCCACGTGTCGTGTGAAGCCATGGCAGGTAAAGCCAAGCTGTGTCTTCAAGAGAGGATCAAATCCAGGTCTTTTTTTCAATCTAGCTTCAGTGCTGAATCCACCTCGTTCTGCAAAAACTTGATTTGGATCAAGTCAGTCTTTTAGGGAGGAAGGAAGTTGAACAGCAGCTTTTGGGGTACATCTGGGACTCCAGGGGGAGTTCAGCGCAATGAATCTGCCACCTTAATGCTTAGTGTGACTTTGCTAGAGGCAAATAAACCTTTGGTGATGGTATTTCCTGCAGTTGGAAAGCCCTAGGACTTTATCCTGCTTTGGTGGATCCCTGTTGTAGTTGCCCTGTAACTTGCTGATTAACATTTGGGGAGGGGGAAAAGCAATCAAGTCAAAAATTCACCAAAAAAAGAGCATTGCTCTTTGGGAGATGGGGCTGGGGCTCAGGCTGCTGACAACCAGGCACTTTCCTTGGCAGGGATGTTGTCTTCAGCAGGCTAGATTCCCGACTGAGGTGCTTTGCTTCTGATTTATATTTGGGGAGGAATGAAATGAATGCAGAATGAAATAATTTCGTTTGACTCGCTGCCTTGAGAACTGAAAAATACCATTTTTGCTGTGATGACCTTTTTTTTTCCTTCTTGGTCCCCACATGCACTGGTTACAGATTACCTAATTGGTACTGTCCACCAAGCCAAAGGCCTGGAGTTTGATACGGTGCTGGTTGCAGATGACTTTGTTGAAGTACCACATCTCAGTGGCAATTACCAGAGAAGAGCAAACTTCGGTATCGGTAAGGGAATACCCCTGTGTGGTACCCATCCTGATCTGAAAGTGGGAAAGCAAAGCGTGCTGCCGGCGCTTGTCCTGCAAGCCCGTGCTTCTCGGTGGTGTCACATAGAATCACAGAATCGCTTTGGTTGGAAAAGCCCTTTAAGATCATCGAGTCCAACCTTTAACCTAACCCTGCCATCCCACCACTAAACCCTGGCCCTCAGCACCTCATCCATCCTTCTTTTAGATACCTCCAGGGATGGGGACTCGACCACCTCCCTGGGCAGCCCATTCCAGAGCCTGACAGCCCTTTCGGGGAAGAAGTTTTTCCTAATGTCCAACCTAA